TTCGGTTCACCAAGGACTTGTATTTATCAATGTAACGCCCTATCGGCAGCTCCCAGTGCTTACATTTTCTCAGTTCCGCCATTGCCTGCTCCCTTACAAGCCTCGGGATAAACCTGCAACTTAGTGCATCCCGGAAGACTTGCATGGAACTGACGTGCTCCAGGAATGTACAGCATTTGCTTAAGTGTAACCACAATCGCCGTGCATCCCTTTCTAATGAGGAGGAGGCCAAAAGTAATTGGAATTCTTCTGGGGCACTTTCTAGGCGAAGGTACAAATAACTCTACGGAACTAAGGAACTCCTCTACGGCCTCTGCATCCCAGCGCCCATCATATCGCGCATGACGGCACAGTCTGAGGCATTCCCCCTAAAGTGGTGTTCGCAAGAATGCACTTCCCTCCGAATTGGATGCCGAGATTGAGCTGGTTTCTGTTTGATGAAGCCGCAGACCGTGCATCGGCCCCCCTTGTGTGAGCGGTTTACAATCACTCTCCATTTTGCTGAAACGGAACAGCTGAAACTCGAGGATATTTTGTATAAGAAAAGGAAACTGGGTTTATTCGAATGTAAATAAGTAATTAAAAATAAAATTTATTCATTTTTTGTTTGTTTTTCCAGCCATGCTGGGTGTCACCCGTGTGGGGATTGATTCCGTGCTATGACCTGCCTCGATCAACCATCCGGTGCTACCTCCTTACCCTCTCCTCAGGCTTCCTGAGCATTGAGTTCAGGGCCTGGGTGTTGCGGGGAGGAGGCAGGCTGAAGTGGGGTTGCAGCACACCACGCTGCGGGAGGTAAAACGAACCTGCCTCACGCGTGCACACAAGGAAGCTTCAACAAAGCTTCCCTTGCTGCAAGCTTTACCTCTGAATGTACTTATAGACCGCTTGCACTTGCTTACACGCAACCTACCAGGGCCAAGTGAAGACTCCTGTGTTAGCTGATGCGGCAGCAATCCTGCGAGGTGACTAATTGCAATTTTGTGGAAACGAGGCGCACTGCCAGTGTACTCCCCTTCTACCGTAGCTGTGTGGCCTAAACATGATCCTGTGGACCCTTTGTCAATGGCCTTAAACTCTTATGATGTGAGCGAGAGAGAGCAACCATCCCCCCAGCACGACTTTCACAACTCAAAGGCTCTCACAGCCAGTATGTGTGTAGGCAACGGAGGCTGGAGAAATGCCTTAGGGGGGAATTTTCAGGAGGGGGATCTCAACAAAATGGATTTCAATGAACGCATGACCCTAACGGAGACTATTTCTAAATGCATACACACAGCTGAGCATCATGTGGAGCAGGTGGTGGTTCTGGGGGTTGTGGGGTCGGTGGTCTCGGGCATGGAGAGGGATTGTCGGCAGTCTGCCGCCGTTCCGTATCACTTTATCACAGTTTCAGCTTGATCGTAGTCCTTAGTCTTTTCCTGGTTGTCTTCTTGGCTGGCGTTTCATCCCTTTTAGTGCCGCGCGGATTGAACTCCTCCGGCCAGTGACCTTACTGGGGTTGCAGTCAGCTCTCCGTGGCCCCTCAATCCCCTCACTCTTTTTTCTTCTGGTGTTTATACTTTTGAAATAAGCAATTTCTTGTCTTTGTTCAGCTACTTTGGGCGGTGGAGGCCCCCAGGGCCCCGTGCAAGCTGCAGGGGACCCCAGCACTGGCCTACGCTGTGCTGGGGGCACCGCTATCCTTACCACCTTGTGCGGATGTCATGCAACAATACCGGGGGAGGCAAAACCAGTCGCAACAGCTGCATGAGTATGTGCTGCTGCTGCAACAGATACAGCATCGCCTCGTGCTGCGGCAGGCGACCGTTCCACAGCCTCAAGATGTGTGCAATCAGCTGCAGCAACACCGGCAACAACACGAAGGCCTCGATATACAGACTCACAATGGGAAGCTAGATCAGCTCGGCCTTGGACAGCTGCAGCAGCTGCAGCAGCAAGACGGGCCGCAACAGCAGCCCGAGCAAGTGTTGCAAAAACGGCAACAGCTGCAACTTCCATCGTCGTCTGCTCACGCACAAGAAGCCAGCAATTTCTACAGTGCGCAGGCACTAGAGATGTCGCACGAGCTACAACAAGCAGTGAAAGACCAGCAGCAGCAGCGGCAGCAGCAGCAGCACTCCCAGCAACGCATGAAGCAACAACAACAAGAGAAATTCCTGCTGCAAGAGCGGCAGCGCCTCTTAAAACAGCAACAGATGCTGTTGCATCTGGGTGGAATGAGGTCACTGGAGCAGGTGAACCTTGCAGTTCATTTGGCACAGCGACAGCTATTGATGCAGATCTCGTCTTCGTCTACAGCAGCAGCAACAGCACCAGTTGTCACAGATGTTGCAGTATGCAGCACCAAAGGAAGCTCTGCTGCTGCAGCAGATACTCCCTTGGGTGCTACTGAGTCCATGCGCATTGCGAAGCAGCATGCTGCCTATCTAGCTGCAACTGCTGCTGCAGGCGGGCAGCTCGCCTCTGCTAACGCAGGTGAATCAGAACCTGCTGCTGCTGCTGCTGCCGTGTCTCAGTTATTAGGGAGCCAGAAGCTTGAAGAAGCAGTGCAGCGGCTCAACGCGCCTGCGATTCGTTGGTGTGGAGCGCGGCAGCTACAGGAGCAGCAACAGCTACTGCTGCATATGCAGCAGTTGGTGTTGCTACTGCAACAACAGCCTGAGCTGCAGTGGCTTCTCTTGCAAGACCAAGACCTGCTGGGGCTGCTTGACAGTGAACCAGCGCTGCTCGTGCTGTTGCTGCGGAATCAGAAGCAGAGGAACTACAGGCCGTTGCTCCAACAGCTTCTTAGGGGAGACGTAGGTCTTCAACACGAGAAGCAGCAGCAGCAGCAGCAGACGCTTTATGCAAAGCTAGTTGCAGGTGCAAGCTACGAAGAGCAGCAGCAGCACCAGCAAGTGCAGCATCAGGTGGAGAGGCTACGGCATGAGCGGCAGCGGCTCGCTTCGCTTGTCAAGCAGCAGCTGCGGCAGCACCAGCAACAACGCCTCCAGACGCAGCAGCAACAGCAGCTGCAGGTGCCTGGGAAGCAGCAACAACTACCACTGCTTCGAGCAGAGCCGAAGCAGCAACTGCCTCAGCAGCAGCAGCAGCCACCCCAACCACAGCAGGAGCCAGTGCCTCAACAACAGCTGCAACTGCAGCCACCGCCGCACGAGCAGCAGCAGCAGCAGCAGCAGCAGCAGCAGCCACTTCTGCCGCCGCAGCAACAACCCCCGCCTCAAGGACAGCAGCAGGATGATTCCTTCTGGCCACCTGAAGGTTTGCCTTCGCAGGACCAGGATGCAGTGCATGTAACAGCAGACATGGAAGAGGAGCAGCCGCCGACGCAGCTACTGGGTGAAGGTGCAGCAGATAGTATGAGTTACTGTCACGAGCAGCGCCTAGTCACCTCAGCAGAGTCACACAGTACAGCGCAACCTTCCCCCAGCCCCGCCTCCCTGCGTGCCCACTCGCAGCAGCAATCGCAGCAAGAGCAGCGGCTACAGCCGACACAGCCTCGGTTGCAGGCGACCAACTCCAGCACAAAAGAGGCTCGGGAGGAGCAGCAGCGACAATGCCAAGAGAAATACCAGCAGGAGCCGCGCCACCACACGCAGCAGCAGCCAACGCAACAAATTCGCAGCAAGCCACCGAGGAAACAGGTGTACCCCTACAGCTACAGAAGTGTGCCCGATGTAGCGACGGTGGCCGAAGCGGCAGAAGCAGCACCAGCAGCGGCACACTCGTCAGCGAAGTGTCCCCGGCGCTGCAGGAGGCTTAAGGGGGAGTCTCCTGAGCCTGATCTTCCGTGCAGCAGACAAGCTAAGACCAGGAAAACCAATTGTGAAAGCAGCAGCTGCAGCAGCAGCAGCAGCAGTAGCGGAGATGAGAACCGGCCTCCGCTGCAGCGTCGGCAGCAGCGGAAGCAGCGTCAATGCCTTGAGAAGAACCCGCCTAAGACGCAGCATGTAAAGCAGCGTACGGTAAAGAAGGGCATATCCGCAGTATGTGCTGCAGGTGCATCTTCTCCAACAGCAGCAACAAAACCAGACGAAGCGGCAGCAGGAGGTGCAGAAGAGGCAGCGCAGCCCGTCTGCCTCTCTCAAGGATCTCGAGGAGCCGCGGCAGCAAGCCGGGCAACCATAGCAGCATCAGCAGCGTTGCAGTGCAACGATAAAGCAAAGGCAAGAAGCAGTAATGCCTCACCAGCAGTAGCGGGGGATGACGACCAGCTGGATCAGCAGCAACTGCAGCTGCTGCTGACACTGCTGCACGACTGGTGTAGCTGTGCCTCGAGTTCATCGGCTCCTCCACCAGCCGATGCCTCCGCGTCTCTTGTTGCGCGACTTACCGCAGCACAGCTGCTGCTAGAGCGGCTGAAGCAGAAGCAGCAGCAGCAGAGTGCCCTGTTGCAAACTGCTGACGGCCACAATGAGGCCGTTGTCGGCCTGTGCAGCGCTCGTGCTGCTGGCATGGCTCGTCTTGAGCAGCTGCTCTCCTGGAGGCCAGATCAGCAGCAGCAGCAGAGCCAGCAGCAGCAGCTGCCACAACGGTTGCTGGCGTCTGCCATGAGGACTCCAGAACTCAAAGACAAGCGTAGCCGACGTCCTGGGCAGACGACGAAGCGGTTGAAGTGCGTTCGCCCTGCAGCAGTCTTAGCAGCAGTCGTGCCAGCTGTTGTATCAATTAATTGCTGCAGCAGCAGCGCGAAATAAGGGGAAGGGGACATCGCATGCGCCGGCAGCCCACGTTGAAAAACAGGTGCCGTGTCTGTGTGTCCTGCAGCACCACAAGCGGCAACAACGGCAACAGCGTATTTGCATCGTTGTGCGGCTGCGTTGCCGTTGCACTTCATGCGGAAGCTGCTCTGCTCTACCTTGGGATTGACCCTTCAGAAGAGATGGACCTGCAGCTGCAAGACCAACAGCAGCAACAGCACGATGGAGACGTCACGTTGGTCGCCACTGCGGCTGCATGCGTTAAGGCACACTGTAGAGACACACTCATGCCTCTCTTCTCATGGCAGATGGGTCCGCTGGCTGCTGTTGCTGTCCCATTGCCTGTGTTGCTGCTGTCGTTGGTGGCGGTGGTGCTGCCTTGCGTAGCAGGTGCTTTATATGGGGGACTGCCGCTGCTCGATTTCGTTGTGGCCGCTGCACAGCGGCGGAATCTGCTAAGCTGTGGGTTCATTTTCTGTTGTGTGTCTGCTTGCTGTAGATGAGAATGCTGACGAAAGGCCTGCCTCAAGCGGGCATGCAGCTGCAGCAGCTGATGCTGCTGCTGCGTTGCAGCGCCTGCTGGAGGCTCTGCGCTATCTTTGGAGCGTCGCCGTGTCCCTGCAGCATCCCAAGACCTTCAGAATGGAGACTTTCCATCTTCTTGCCGCCGGATTGTGCTGCATTTGGGGTATACACGCATTTCCTGCATTTTCTGTTGCTGCTGCGCCTCTTCTACGCTCGGCAGAGGGTCTGCTGTTGCTGGTAAGATGCTGTCTGAGGTGTATGTACACTGCCGCTATCATCTCTCTGATCTGCCCTCGCCTTATCGGTAGCCAGTGTCAAAGGGATACAGTAAGGGATATAGGAGCACTGACCTTTGCGTCTTGTTGTCGCCGTGTCTTTACTTTAACGGGTTCGCGTGCTGCTGCTGTTCTTGCTGCTGCTGCTGCTGTTGCTGCGCCTGCAATTTGCCCATCCTTCCAGCTGTTTCAGTACGTCCAGGAGTTGCGGGAGCCAGTGATTGATGGGTTGTTGCAGCAGTTCGGTGCTGCTGCAGAAGATACTTGCAGCCAGAAAACAGGTGGGAAGCATGCAGCTGCAGCAGCTGCTGCGGCAGCTGCTGCTGCTATGGAGGAGGAAGGTGAAGAGGTCGTTGGACCGCAACAGGTAGCAGCAGGTGCTACAGTAACAGCAGCGCACCCCGTGACGTTGCTGCTGCTGCGCCTACTGCAGGCAGTATGCCTGCCCAGCGAAGTGTGCAGAAACCTCGGAGGGTCTTCGTTTGCAGCGGCGCCAGGGGTGTCGTTCGGGAAGCAAAAGAAGCACCTTCCAACCAAAGCGGAAGGAGCAGCAGCAGCTGCTGCAGCCACAGCGAAGTACATCGCTCGCCGTTTAATCATCATGGCAGTCGGTGAAGAGCTTCCAGGAAAGCAGCAGCAGCGCCACCACCAGCAGCTATTGTTGCTGTCCTCTATACGCCCCTCTGCCGGCTGTCTCCGTGCCGTGCGGCGTCTCATTGCTGACGTCTCCTTGGTAAGAGCTACCGCTAACGATGAGGCGGCGCAGTGTAGCCAACGACTCTTTCTATCTGCGCTAATTTACAGCTGCACTCGAGGAGCACAGTGCCGACCTCGTTATATGCAGAAGCCACCGATTCGTCTCCTGGTTGCCGCTGTCTTCTGCTGCAGCTGACTCTATCTCCCTCTCACCCAGCTTCGCTGCTGTTGCTTCGCGCTGTGGGTTTCACCTTGCTGGCGCGGCTGCTGCGCCCGGAATCTGTGGCGGATCACACGCAGCAGCATCAGCAAGCAGCATTGCTGTCCCTTCTCTCTGCGGTAGCGCCTGCTGTCTTTGCGGAGCGGCTGCCGGTTCCTGCCGTTCGTCTGCTGGAGGAGCAGCGGCAGCTGCAGCAGCAACAACAGTCGTCAGAAACTGTGCAGCCGGATCCAACCGCTGGAGCAGCTGCGCAAGCCCCGCGCAGCCTCTCGAGAGGTCCTACACAGGCGGAGCGGCAGCAACTTCTGCGCTCGCGCCGGGCGTCATTTGAGGACGGTAGCAACAGCAGCGCAGCAGCAACAGAAGCTACAAAGCCAGACACAGCAGCAGCTACAAAACAAGTAAACCAGCAGCTAGAGACTTGCTGTGATTGCGCCTCCTTGAAACCGCATGAGGCAGCGGAGGCGGTAGCCACGAACACCGCCGCTGAGCCGTGGGTCTGTGCCGGCTGCGAGCTGCGCCGATCTGTCGCGGTGTCTCTACAGGAGGCAATAGGTAGGCTTCGCCCCTCCGCGTGGCCTTCGGTAGCTGCTGCAGCCCCAGATAGCAACGCCGCGACCGCTGCAGCAGCATCAGCAGCAGCGCAGGGTATAGCAGACAGCTCGTTGCTGCTCCGCGTGCTCGATGAATCCCTCACCTTCCGCTGTATCCTCCTTATGCACGCAAATGCCTGCTGTAGCAGCAGCAAACCCGCTGCATCAGCACTGCAGCCCGCTGCAAAGGAACCATGCCACGAACAGACCCCGGCTGCTGCTGCTGCTGCTGCATCTACCGCAGCAGCAAGCTCCGCTTCAAGCTCCATGAGACTCTCTCACAGGCGTCTCTTGCAGCAGCACTCCAGAGCAGCCATGGCCTGCATCCTGCTGCTGCTTGGCGGTAGCAGCAACAAAAGCGACACAAATAAAAACTGCACCACCAACGGCAGCAAAACTGGTAGCCTCAAGGACAACAGAAACAAACCCAGCAAAACAGAAAACAGTAGCAGCAACCGTGTGCTGCAGCTCGTAATAGACATCGAATGGGAGGCGATCGCGGCGGGAGATGTGGGGTTGTTGCTGCCCCTGAGCGCTGCTGCTGTTACTGCTGTTGCAGGGAACGACATTCACAGCCCCTGGAAGCAGCAGCAGCAGCAGCAGTTAGTCATGTCTGTCTGGCGATCCCTCGCTCTTTCGGCGCTGCAGCAGATTGCCGATTTGCTGCTGCATGCGATTCAAGTGTCCGCAGTGGACCCCCGCTTATCAGTAAGGTACGGAATGTATGTTTGCTGCTGCTTGCAGCCTGCTGCTCTCGGCATTTCCGCTGCTGCCGATTAGGCATTTGCTTCTTTTTCTGTGGGATCCTCAGGAGGGCGGCTCTGTCTGTGCTGCATGCGGCTGCGACATGGCGGCCATCTTTGCTGCAAGCCAGCAGCAACAACAACAGCGTCGCCTTCCTCTTGCCTCAGGCTCTTGCAGACTCGTCGCCCGGTGTTCGGGAGCGCGCCCTGGCCCTGCTTGACACCGCGCTGAAGCAACAACAACAGAACGCTACAGCAGCAGCCTCGTTGGAGCGCAGCAGCCAGCAGCTGGGCGACGCGCAGCCGCAGCAGCAACCCCAAGTTGCTGTCTCTCCTTGGCTCGAGGAGATCGGCGGATTGCTGCGGTTCCTTCGCTATGTGGTGCTGCAGGAGACAGCCTCCTCTGTGAGACAGCAGGCCTTGCGTGTGGCACGCGGGTGTGCTGCTGCTGCTCCTCTGGGAGAGACAGCGCGCTGCTGCCGCTCTCTGTTGCTGGAGGCCCTTGCAGCTGCTCCTGATCATCCCCCAACCAAGGCGTTTGTCACGGCTGCACTTGCTGCTGAAGTTGTTCGATTCATTGCACCAAAGCTCCCGGAGAAGGCTGCTGCGACTGCTGCTGCAGATGCGGGCGATGCAGCTGCAGCTGCTATGGCGACGCAGACACCGCAAAGACGGAGGAGCCTGGGCCTTGAAAGCTACGGCGCGTCGCCTCTTGCTGTCGCAGCAGCACAAGGGTCAGCAAACCCCTGTAGTTCTCTGTATCTGCGGAAGGCAGTCAGACTATTGGCTAGCTTAGTTGCTGCGGCGCGGGAGCACCTGGAGGATACCTCTTTAGTACTGCTTCTGCTGCCTCGGATGCAGCATCAACTGCAGCAGCAGCTGCAGCAGCAGCAAACACTAGAGGAGCTTGCAGCAACTCTGCTGGATGCTTGTCTAAGTGAGTATCTGAACTGCTGCTGTGGCGTGTCTGAAAAGCAGCAGCCAAAAGGCCACCGAGGTGAACAGCAAGAGCACAATCAGCAGCTGCAGCAGCAAGAAGACTCCCTCCTTGACCCTGCTACTGCAGGGGCATCTCTGCTGCAGCTGGCCCAGGAACTTGGGCTATTCTGTCCACGTGGACTGCTGCAGTTTGTGCCTCACGTTGCAGTTCTGCTGCGGGATAACGCTACGCTGCTGCAGCAAGGCATGAGCAGCCGCCGCTCTTGGTTAGGGGAGATTGAGCTTCTGGCCGCTGCAGCAAAGCATATCCGTGGTGCTCCGTACCACATGCAGCAAGAGATGCTGCTATGTGTGCCGGCTGTGCTACTGCTCCTTGAGACAGATCCGCTCTTGCTGCAGGCAGGCACTACAATGCTATGCCGTGTGTCCCTCCAGCTGCAGCAGGACGGGGTGCGCGATAGTCTCGTTGATCTTCTTGCTGTCAGTTTGGCGCTCATTTACTCTATAAAAGATAGGATCCACCCCTATCGACAACCGCAGCAGCAGCAGCAGGAAACTCAACAGCAGACGCAGCAAGACGGGCAGTTGCAGGACAGAGAAAATGTCGTGCCGATGCTTCAGGCGCTGCAGTTCGCATCGTGGGCAGTGGCTTGTTTGGCTGCTGGATTGGGGGTTGGAGAGCCCGGCAAAGGCTGTGCCTCGGAGCCCCACGTTTTTGCTGCTACTGCTGTTACTGCAGCAGATCAGCAGTGGGCCACTGCCTCAATACCAGGTGAGAAGCAGCCGGGGGTTATTTCGGTGGACAGGCTTGCGTTGTTTCTTGCTTTTGCTCCCCACACCCAGCCCGCCTTTTTCAGCGCTTTCACATTATGGGGGACCTGCTGCTTCTGCTGTCTCCTTCCTTTTGCAGGAGCAGCAGCAGGCGCTACTTCGCTGCTGTCAGACGTTCCCGTGGCCTTGCTGATGCGGCGCGTGGCTGCGCACGCCACGGACAGCAAATCCGCAGCAGATGCTGCTGCTACAGCGGCTTCAGGAAATGGTGCGTTTGATCTGCAGCAGTGTATATTCCATCTTCTATGCGACGCACTCCTGTTGCTGCAGCAACACGGAGGAATGACGGCAGTGGCTTGGCGTTCTGTTTGTTGGTTCGTGCGTGCGGCTCCATCATTCCTAAAGAGCCCGCGACTGGGTGCGCGCCTTACTGCAGCCATAGCAGGAGCTGCAGCTGATACGGAGAAACTGCCGTGGGGCCAGCAGCGGCGTCTGCAACATCAGCAGCAGCAGCAGCAGGCGGAGTGGCCGGGGAATGCGTCGGCGCTGGACTTGCCTGCGGCGCTTCAGGCGTTGTACGGGCTCGTCAAAGGCTTGCAGCGCGATGCCGCGCCTCCCAGAGCAGCAGTAACAACAGCAGCAGGTGGAGAAGGTAAGGCTGTCCACAGTGCCAGCCTCCCGTCACGCCGATCAGCCACTCGCCCGAAATCCCACACGCAGCAGCACCAACAGCAGACAAAGCGCACGCCCCTTTCCTGTAGCCGCGCACGCTCTGTGACAGCATCTTCCCCAGCGACAGCAGCAGCAGCTACTACAGCAACAATAACAGCAAATCTTCGTCAGGCGCTGTGGACTGGTACCGAGCGCATCTCAGATACCCACGGTTCAGCAGCTGCAGCTGCAGCAACATTGCAGCCAAGTGTATGCGACTGTTTGCATTCGCTTGCGCTGTACGTGAGACCTATGATGGACTTACTTCTACCTAGTCAGCAGCAGCGGCCGTGGCCGAGCGTCAGCTGCAGCACGGCCACGCTCATCCTCCTGCTCGCCAGGACACTGCAGCAGTGAGTCGCTAGTAGCAGCCCACAGCGGCAGGATTTGCAGCAGGTGCACTTCACCTGGTCAAGTCACCCTCACGCATCGCGTAGTCGCTTCGCGACACCATCGTCAGCAGCAACAGAACGAATTGTCTGCGTGCATACAGTACTATGAGCGTGTAGAAGCGTCTGCTTGTATATCAATGAACGTGGATGCCCGCTCGTGTGTGTGTGTGTGTGTGTGTGTGTGTGTGTGTGTGTGTGTGTATGTGTGTATGTGTNATATATATATATATATATATATATATATATATATATATATATATATATATATGCACGTGCAGGTGTGTATCTGTATATATTTTTGGGTATCAGGCTAGGGCTTCTCTACCACAGCGAGTTGGTTCCTCAAGCGGCTGCTCTGCTGTTTTGCAGCAGCAGGACTGTGGCGCGTGCAGCTTCTTTGTTGTTGCAAGAAGCGCTCGGCGGTGCCGGTGCGGCATCTGCAGCTGGTCGGCTGAAAGAATGTCTGGACAGCTCGCTGCTGCTGTGCATACACCGCGCTGCAGCAGGCGTCACAACGGCAGAAAGCACATCCACGACACCTGGTAGCAGCAGCAGCAGCTCGAAGCTACTGCAGCTACAAGAGGAGGGAGCAGCACCTGTTGCTGCGCTCTTGCTTTCACCTTTCAACCCAGTAGACCCTGCAGCTGTCTCCGCATTTGTTGCATTGTTCACGAAGGGGCCAAGGGGAGGCACCAGAGTATGTCGCGGTTGCTGCTGCGGCTGTTGGTATCTTTCTCAGCTGTTGTACTTGGCTCTTCTCCACTATTGACAGTTTTTTCTTATGGTTTCCATTTGCTGCTGTTGCCGCTGCTGCTCTGCAGGGCTCACCAGCGGACGTTCAACTAGGACTTGTGGCCGAGTTGGGGAGGTTCAGCAGCGTAGAGCCTCTTGCGTGCCTCGCTGCCCGCCTCCCACCTGTAGCAGCGTCTGCCGCTGCTGAAACAGCAACATCAGAAGAGAGACATAATGGACGTATTGCTGCGTGGATAGGCAGTCTGCCGCCTTCGCTAGCTGCGGTTGCAGCAGAAACAGCAGTTGCCTCGTGGCTGCATCGCACTCCGATAGAGCTGCTGCCACTCCTGCCTGCTGTGTTTGCTGCGCTCCTGCACCTGAGGCTTGTTGCCGATGTGCTGCTCTCGATCATCCAGAGGCCATCAGAAGCAGCAGATGCAGCAGAAGCTCTGCGAGGGGTGGTCGTTGACTGCGGCGCTGCTGTTGATACCATGTTGCATGCAGCGCAGCAGCAGCAGCCACGGCAGCAGCAACAGCATCAAGTGGCTGCTCTAACTGCTGCTTTCTGTGGGTGCTTTGCCTCTCAGCTGAGGTCTGCTCTTATGCAGGGCTTCCACGTGACGGATGTAGCTGAGGGCGAAATCGACACACCAACACCAGCTTCCGGTCCTGCAGTAGCAGAGGATTTAGCAAGCCATGAGTTCGATGACTGTGCTACTACTGAAGGCACGAGGCAGCAGCAGCAACAACAGCAAGAGAAGGGAGGTCGCGGACTCGTGCGGCAGCGTGGCCGTCGAAGCAGCAGCAGCAGTAGCAGGAGCAGCAGCAGCGGCAATATTCCGGCGTCGCGTAGAGGCGGTGTGCCTGGCTGTAGCACTGCAGAAGCCTCCGTTGCTTCTGCAGGTGCCCCTGGACAATCTGCAGCAGCAGCAACAGCAACAGCGAAGAAAAGCCCTGTGTCGATTCGCCGTAGCAAATGCCGCAGCGCGCCGCTTCTTCCAGCCATCCCAGAGGAGAAGGCCGCATGGCGGTTATTTGCTGCTTCGGCTTCCTCGCAGCACCAAGCGGTGGCTAAGCTGGGGAAGCTGTGGGCGAACATTGTCTCAGAAGGGAGTTCTACAGGAGCACGAGTAGCATCTGCAGCTGCAGCAGCAACAACGGCCGCAGCGGGAAGCGAAAACACGCGCTCTATCCTCATCAGGGAGATGGTGGATGCTGTAGTTTGCTGCGGGAGCGAGTTCAACTGTGCTGAGAGTGGGAACCTCGCATCTATGCATCTGCATGGCGGCGGTCGGAGTCGTAAACGCATTCAGCAGCAACTGCAGCAGCAGCAACAGCAGCAACAGCAGCAACAACAAAGTTCCCCGCCCAGGTGGCGACGTAGGAAGCGCAGACGGTTTGGGGTGCGCAAGGGAGAGGACCCCCGAGACTCTGACTGGGCGAGGGATGAGGAGACATCAGAACCGACGGCCGAGTCGGATGAGGACTTCACGGACCACTGAAGTTGTTGTCTCATCGCTCTCTGTTGCGGTTCTCCGCTCTCTTTTCACTACCCCTATGCTTTGTTTTCTCTCTTGTCACCTATTTCCGCAGTTGGCATGCATGCTTTTGTTTTTGATTTTGTTTGCATCTTGGCTGTGCGGATTGTCGGCTGAGATTTCCCTCGTCTCTATCTCCTTATATATCATCTTTCACCTTCGTTTGGGCATTTAATGGGACTGCAATGCCCCATGCAAAGCCCGCTCCAGGCAACAAAAAGCCGCATTCTCTTATTACTGCTCCGTGACGCCATTTCGTAGTTTTTCACTCTGCTGTGCCGAGCTTTGTCTTGAGCATTATAGCTGCTGCCAACCCCCCCAACAATTTGCTCTATTTGACATCTCCTGAAGGTGAATGCACAAGTACGCATTGCGCCGCCTATGCGTTACAAGATGAAAATATCTTCACGGAAACAACAGAGAGGAAAGCTCCTCACTGTCCAGCATAATGCACCTGCGCAGCCGTGCTCCTGGCAAGAACAGGGCCGAAGTGTAGCACCTGCAGCAACAGAGTTGCAGCGCAACTGCAACAGCGGAAACAGCAGAACTGCACCATCACTGCAATAGCGGCAGCCTCTGGGCGCGTTGCTGCAACTTCAGACAAGATATACCGCATCCGTCGTCCCCGAAAAAACTCTCGACACCTACTGCGCTGCACTGGCATTCAAGCAAAAGCTGCTACTTGCTGTGTCGATACAGTAACAAATAGCAACGATGCTGTTAAATTAATAGTTTCATAAGAGGTAGTATTTGGCGGAGCAACCAGTGCTTGCAGCTGATGTAGCAGTCTTCAGCTTCTGCTGCGGCTGCTGCAGCCGCCTGGCCTCAACAGGCGGGTCTGGGCGCTAGCTAATCAGGCAGTCATGGCTACAGCGTCGGCGCGCACGAGGCATGTGCTGAAAATATACCTAGCTAGCTTAGCTGCGGCTCAGGCAGCAATGTGTCTGAAAGACGGCAAACGGAAAAAAAAGACTGCACCAGAGACGGCTGCGCAGTACCTACAGCGGCAGCGTGAGCAACCACTGCCTCTAATAGGGTGATTAGAGCCTTTCCCAGGTACCTAAGTGGCTAGCTACTAGCTGAAGCCTATCATATAGGTAACTTCGCTGCACATCCAATTGGAGGGAGGCCAAGTCTTAAACACCTCTCATGGCACGCCCTCTTGCTGCTGCTCCTGCGTGCTGAGGTCCGCGCGAAACAGCAAACGTACATATCCGTCTGTTGCAGAGGCAGCCAGTAGCCCTCGGTTGTACCTGAGCAGCAAACAAACAAGAAACAGCGGCAACAACAAAAGCAGCAGCATTGTCGTGGGCGACCCCAACACCTGGGCAGCCAAAGGCAGCAACTGGTGGAAATACCGCTTCAGCGAACGCAGCCGCAACAGTACCGCCGCCGATAGCACTAGAGGCCAACATCACCAACCCACACCGTATCAGAAGGCAGCAGCAGCAGCAGCAGAGTGCAACTTCCTACCAAAGCCTCTGCAGAAGGGGCTTCTGTGGAGACCTTCCCGTCGCAGCAACCTGCGCACAAAACCGCAACGAAAATTCATCCGCAGCACCAGAAACAAGATAAGCAACAGCTGCTGCAGCAAGAGATGCAGCAGCAGAAGCAGCAGTAAGGATTACCTGCACCCAGCGAAAAGGCACCAGCTCGAAGCCGCCGTCTCCAAAGCGCCAAGTCAACAAACAACAGCTGAAGCTGCGATTGGGCAGCACAGCCATTAGTCGAGACTCCCAGTCAAGGACTGCGTCTGCTAACGAACAGTTTTCTTGCTGCTGCTGTTCCTGTTGCTGTGACAAGAGGGCAGGGAGAGAAAAGCTGGCCCGAAGGGACCACCAAACACCGGCAACGCAGCCGCCCTCTGCTGTTCCTGCTTGTGCTGCTGCTGCTGCGGTTAGTGAACCTCCTTCTGCAGCCGCCTGAGGTTTCCCCGTTACTGGCTGTCTTGCTGCTGCCGCTGTTGCTTCTGCTACCGTTGCTGCTGCCGCAGCAGCGAGCTGACACCTCGAAGCCCGACATCCGCAGAGTAAAGAAGGACATACGGTGGCGTCGTCCTTTCGTTTCTCGTGGAGTAACTGCTGTTTCTCGAGCTGTATTGTTGCATCTGCTCCCGCTGCATCTGCTGCCACTGAATCTATCGTTCCTGCATCTGCTGCTGCTGAATCTGCCACTGCTGCGCCTGCTGCTGCTGCACCTGATGTTGTTGGGTCTGTGAGACGAGCTGCATCAGCCGTCACGCAAGAAGACGGAGCCCCGTCGGGTTGCTGCTGTTGCTGGCTACGAGGTTGTTGTGTGCTGCGGATTTGGTGCAGTCTCCGGTTGCTGCGGGCAGGGCCTTGCTGCTGCCAGAAGTGAATGTGTGAGGTAGTAACCGCCAGGCAGCACAGTTGCTGCCGTTTCTGCTGTTGCTGCTGCTGCTGCTGCTGGCGCTGCTGCTGGTTCTGCTGCTGTTCCCACTTGTGCGGCCAAATAGGCAGCTTCCCCAGTCCCACCGCAAGCGTGCGGGAAGTGCATCCCCACAGTGTCCCAATGCAGGCACCCGTGTGCTGCTGGAAGACCAGCAGCGGCCAAGAAGCAAGGAAGTCTGGACAGCTAGCTGCTGTTGCTGCGGTTGCCGTATCTGCTGCTCCTCCTCCATTTATTTCTGTTACTGTTGCACCTGCTACTGCACGTGCCTGGTGCGCCTCCGCTGCACCCGAGTTGCCGCTGCCGCACGAGCCCCACAGATCCGAGGCACTAGACGTTGCAGCAGCAGCTGGAGGATGCGCTCTGTGGTACATAGCATGCTTCGAGCTCCGCCACCACCGCTGCAGCGTGCTACCGCTGCCATTGGTGCTGCCATTGTTGCTGCTGCTGAGCAGCGGTGTGTCTCTCCACCCCTCCGGGTGCACTGCCATCACTACAAGGCGTTCTGCTACTGCAGCATACAGGCAGCAGACAGGGAACTGGGCCTCTAAGGAGAGCTGCACTTGGTTGACGCGGTTGCTGCCGCTTCTATCCTGAAGAGGCTGCAGCTTGGCTGGTTCCCCCCGCCATTTTCGCGCTGCTTGCTCGCGACACTGCTGCAGCTGCAGCTGCTGCAGTGCTGCTGCGTGTTCTGTTAACAAGGTAAGTTGCGTTTGCTGCAGCAGCTGCTGCTGCAGGAAGCAGCGAACAGACGGGGGCAGCTGGTAGACTGCAGCAAGGCGGCGGTTTTCGAGAAAAAATGCGGCAGCGATGCCGCCTCCCAGTCCAGCCAGAAGGGCGTTGTTCCCGACGAGAAGTAAGCAAGTGGGGGTTTGCTGCAACCTGCACCCATTAGCCGCTGCAGAAATGGACAAAGGCGAAGTGCCAGTTGCTGCCCCCTCCATTACTGTACCTCGAGTTGGCATGAGTGGTGTTCCTCTTGGCTCACTCTCTAGTGTTGCTGCTGCAGAGGACGAGGCGCAATAGTGAGGTTTCTTCAGCTTCGTAGCAGCAGCGTCCGGACAGCCGTAAGATAGACAAACAGCAGTATTTGCGGAAACGGGAACAGCCGTCGTCTCCAGCGTAATGAGTAACCGGAGGGTTCTTCCCACGAAAACCCTAACGGCCCCGTCTACGCAGCCTACCACCAAGAGGGGCCCCTTGGATGTATGCGAGGCAAAGCAGCAACAGCAGGCTGCGGCAGGCAAGTGTTTTCTGCTGCAGCACACTCCAGTCACAGTGCTGCAACGCAGCAGCAACTTATCGCTGCAAACCACAATGCCACCAGCCCCAGGCAGCACTAGCTTCCGCCTCGCTCTAGGGTCCAACCATTCTCTAGGGCCCCACTGCCGCAACAGTTTCCCTGCTGCTACCCGCGCAAGCTCTGCAGCAGCAGAAGCTGCTGCAGAGACTGGAGAAGTGGCTGTTGCCGCTGCTGCTGCTGCTTCCTCCTCATCTACATAAACACCCAGGAGGGGGGGCCTCGCAGCCGCGGGATAATCCATAAAGGGACAAAAGCGACGGACGCAGCCAACGCCCCCATATGAAGGTATTTGTGAGCCTTCTCCTCTTAATCGGCCCCCCCTTGGGCCCCACGACGCGGGCTCCCCACAGGGATCCCTCATCTGCCATACAGCTGCAGTAGCCGAGGCAGCAACAGCAGAAGGCGCAGCTGCATCGTCAGCAGGGCCTCCAACGCCTAGGTGCTGCGTGTCTTCCTGCCTCACGATCCTGAGGCTGCAGCTGCAGCAAGCAAGAAGCGCGAAAAACAGAAGTCCCCAGGGAGAACCATACCGCTATCCTGCTGTCATTTGACGGCTGGTGCGTGCTGCGGTCACTGCTGCGTAGCTGTTGCTGCTGCTCTTTTTGCTGCCCATGCTGTTGCCCCAGCGGCTGGTGCTACCGCTGCGATGGCACCTGCCTTAGTTCTCCTACTGCGTGCTGTCACTGACGGGCCTCTCCTGTGTGCAACAGAGATGATTATAATGTCTAGAGTGCCGTATATGGGAACGCGCTGCACTGGCTGCGGCCAGGTAACCACCACCGAGAGGAGCAGGAGAACCAACAACTGCAGACGGACCACAGACGCACACGCCGGTGCAGCTGCTGCCTCAGGCCCTTTTCCTAAACAGGATAGTGTTGGTTTCTGGTAGATCAAACAGTGCTGTCGCCGCGCTCTTCCTTGCCGACGACAACTGTTGAGGCACCCTTCAGCAACGGGGGCCCTGGGTTGACCCTAGGGGCCCCCCAACGCATATGCTACAGCGACGGACGCAGCGAAGCATAGTGAACGGAGGTTCTTTAAAGATTACTTTTAGAGTCATATTTTGTGTGAAATAAATTGCCTCGCTTGACTTCTATGGACAGATGCTAAAGCGGCAGGAAATCTGTTCTTGTTCCGGCTGGACGTAACCGGCGCTTGCATAGAAATGCTAAGGAACCGTGTAAACTCTACCCCTTGTGAGGACAGCTGCAAAAAAAAACCTTAGCTTCGCAGCTTCAGCAGCTGCAGCAGCAGCTGCTGAAGGGACAGGGTAGTGAGAGTCATTGGTCTCAAACTGTAGCATTAGTCAGCATGGTCTGCTTGCAGTTAGCAGTTGGGCTTGATAGGCTGACTGCTAGCAAATACAAATGCTCCGTAAGTGTCTACGGAGATAAATCATGCAGGAAGGGAAACTTTGTTGCAGCTTCCTTGCACTCGCATGTGAGGCTTGCACAACACCTGCTACCTGGCCTTAATCGAGGACAGAAGCGAGCTGCAATGTAGGCAACTACTTTAAGTAGGAGCTTCCCAAAGGCAATTGGCCCCTCTCTCCCGTCCTCAGGCGTCCTGGCCGTTGAGCTCAGTGCCTGGGTTTTAGGCGGAGGACGCAGCCTGAAATTGTATTGCAACGCACCCCACTGCGGCTTGTGAAGCAAGCCAGCCTCACGTGTGCACACAAGGAAGCAACAGCAAAGCTTCCTTTACTGTATGTTCTACCTCTGAATATGCCGATTGAACTGTTGTATTTGCTTATACGTAGCCTACCACGGCCAAGTGATGGTTCCAGTGCTACCACGGCTAAGTGACGGGCGTTGGGACGGTGAAGGACTGGAGTTCCTTCGGTCCCTCGACTTACAAGTGTTACAGCTATATTCCCATCTCTCTTAGAGGGGGTTTCCCCACTTGTGGCTCCAGCTAAGCAACGACTTCTCTTTCCCAGAGCACATCAGATCCATCAGTGGTTCATCGCAGGGCTGCCCTCCCTCGAGAGGAAACTAGTAGCTGGATGTGCCACGGAGAGGGAACTAGTGGGCGAAAAAATTGAACTGGCTGAGATGATGGAGTGCCTTCGTATAAGAGGAAGAAAGGATGCCAACTCCGCCGCCCTAGCTGAGGGCGAAGAAGCCGCGCATGGGGACGGCACCGATATAAAACCTATGGATATTGGGGCTGCGCATGCTAGACCAGCCCAGAGAGGGACTAGGGGCGCCAACCGGCCGGAGACACCGAATTCAACCCCCAAGACGCCAAAAGAAAACACTGAATGGCGCATTTGCCTCTTTTGCAATAAACAGGGACACATGCTTCGACACTGCTGATTTAGGAAAAGACTACGGAACAACTAGAGCTACACCTCGAATAGGGGTTCCAGGGGAGCAAACTAAGCGATCGGAAAAACGCCTGGGTCCACACACAACGTGTCGGGCAGTGACAGTGCCCCAAAATATGACGGGCGCCTCTGATCTGCCTCGAGTCAATTCCGTGCGTGCACAAGTTCGTTTTAAATGCCAGGTGTTTTTACCCTTACTCGATACGGGGTGCGGAGTGGATCTGCTATCGGAACCCACGGCAGTGAGATGGAGTATATCCGCCTACTCATTGGTGTACTCTCTAATGAATACTCACTACATTCACGGCAGCATTGTCGTGGTCGCTGTGCAAGAGTGAGAATTGCGTGGACAGTGGAATTGGACGAAAATGCAGATTGATTTATCAACTAAATACCTAATGAGTGTACTAGATATTGTTTACAAATGGGGTGCGGCGTTATGACTACACGAGAGGCTGGCATGAGACTTGCTGCACAAGTGTGTTGCAACATGCCAAGCCGCCTCCCAACCGGGCCCCTACGGCCGCAGTGCTGGATCTAGGGATGAGGGCAGAACAACTTTGGGGAAGAGAACTGGAGAATAAACTTTCTTCAAGCTTTGTTTCCTTTTGTCGTCTGCCGAAATAGATAAGATCTTTGAGTTTCCGCAGCATCAATCAAGTTACTTGAGGGTGTGACTCAGTTTAAGCCCGCCTGTTCGTTATACTCGGCAGTGGGGATTGAGGGATGTGCCCCGCAAAGGATTTCCAGGTGAACCGCCTATTCTTTAGTCATCCCATCTGAAGTATTACACTAAAGTGCAATATTCTTTATTAACATGAACGAATCTCGACATAGCATGCGAGGGACTAAGGGCTCAGCCCACACATCATCGGCTTCCTGGGTCTGCAGTTGTAGTGCTCAGCGGCCCTTCGCTGTTGCTACGCATGCATCCTAAGCCATTCTGACTAGGTGCACACTCTGCATCTAGGTATCTAAACACATGATTCTCGCTATTCGCACTATTAAACACGTTAAATAGTCAAAATACATTCGAGTTCATATTATCTCCCTGGTAGAAGATCCCAGAAGAACGGAACTGATCCTGACCCTCGCTGAGGGTCAGTATCAGAGTCACCGCACGAGCCTCACACCCAGTCCCCAAGCCGGTGTGGGCTGACGAGCACTCTGATCCTATTATGCATCTTTTCTATCTGAAGGTGTCCTAATTCCTGGGATATTCCACAGTATTTGTTCCTTTTCGTGATACACTAAGCCTCTAGAGACTGCGCAAGAGATCCATTGTAGTGCTTGTGCACTACAGCAGTACCTCCATTGTTATGTATTAACAACACCCCTTTGTGTGAGGGAACTCGGATCCCTAGTAGATCTCACAATTGAGTTTTTGTTTGCGTCGCTGTTGTCGTTGGCGGCACAAGACGCAGAGCTGCGGACATGGTTTGGTGCACGGAGGAACGAGAGTGAGCTCAAGTCCCGAGGGCCCAATGATCACTAGGGCCCCAAGCTCCACTTAACTGGCCTGCTGTAGGGGAGTTTCTCAGAGGCACAAAACGCAGAGTTGCGGACATTGTTTGGTGCACCCGCTGATGAGGGGATGAGGACAGGGTCCCGTTCCGACGACCTCCGTAAGGCCCCAAACTCCCCTTTGGTGGCCTGTAATATTGAAGTTTTTGAGACAATCCCGGCACTCGCTTCGCAAATGGTAGACAGGATACAGGAATCGGCAAGACTATGGGCGTGAACTGCGCTCGTACTTTCGGAACTGGGCACATCAACATGATCAGTTCACCACGACACAATCCTAGGCACGCCATGGCTGAGCGAGCGGAAGGCGCAATGGCGTCCGCCTGATGACACCATCGATGTCTTTCCGCTAGGAAGTGATGAGAATCTGCACCGCCCAACGAGATTTGCATCTTTTACAATCAGAGGAATAGGGACTGTGTTCCAACGAAAGCGGAGCGCGGACCGCCAGTAGCGTAGAGGCACTGAAGGGAACGGCAGAGATATGCATGCGCTTCGTCCTGATGCTCGTGTGAAGATAGCATTGTTAGGGGAGTCAATCAACATAACACCCGAAGAACAGCGGAAGTGGGCAAAATTGAAGGAACATTTCTCAGATGTACTCAATAACAAAGGGCTAGTGGCGGGAAGGCCATCCGCTTGACGCTCAATGAACCGCATCGAACTCATTCCCGGCCCACTGCTTAGCTTGGTTCCAAAATATCGGTGGCCCCCGCAACGTGATGGGGAAATCGAGCGACATGCGTATGAAGTTCTACGAAGTGGAAAGGTTCAGGCGTCAACTAGCGCCATTGGACCCAATCCAGTGTTTGCGAAGAAAAAGGGGTGCAGGTGGCCCATAGGCGTCGGCTCCAAGCCCCTCAACAAAATTTCAGTGAAACAGAAGTTTCCGATGCCTAGGATGGACGAAATCTTTGACTTTTCACAGGATTCAGCGGTATACTCAGCATTTAACTTCGCTGAGGCATTTTTACAGATCCCCATTCATCCGGAGGACAGGCACAAGACTGCAGTCTACACCTGCACTCGCAAGCTGCAGTACAGCTGTATGCCATTTGGCATCGTGAATGCACACGCCGAACTGCACGTGCAGGCCAATCACGGCTTCTTGGGGCCAATCGCTGAGGTGTGGATGGTAATGTACATGGATAATGTGCTCGTACTTGCAGCACCGTGGAGACGGTATGTGAGGCCTGCCGCCGCTTGTGGACGCTTCTCTGAAGTATTTTGACTATAGTTGAGCTTACGAAGTGCCTCAGCTAGAACTGAGGACTCTATTTACATGTATCAGGTGGCTATTCGAACTCCGGGTGTACTGCTCCGGAACTACAACGAGATAGTTGCATTAGGTTCATCAACGAGAAGATGTCCTTAATCTGTAGAACATT